ATAAGTTCTGCATTGTTCAGCACTTCGTTGGGCACAGTATTTATTAGCGAACCGAACAGAAAATGTCAACATTTTATAACTACTTTATCGCCTAAGTACAGCGTCTGTTTTCGCTACTGGTTCGCGTATTCAGAAAGTCTATCCATTTAAAGTGCAGCTTCTTTATAATTTGAACTTGTAACGAAAGCCATCACCTGCTTTCAGTTTTATGTCCTATAGATAAAACCATTAACGGAATATATTACTTATATAATTCTCTATTGGTTCAGTTTTACAAATCATATCAATGAATTTACAAATGTCTTTATAAAGTGGAAAAAATTAAATAATGCAATTGAACGTGGTTATAAATGGCACTTAAAATATCTCTTTAGAATTTCAGCGATTTTGGTTATGGATAGTATAATACCGAAAACATAGATTTTAGCTTAACATCACATATTAACATATTATTTATTATCTATCAAAAGTATTAATAAATTTTCTTTTCCGTAAAAAATCTTAGTTCACTACAATATATATATTTAATTAAAGTTTTAAAGTTTTATTTTTAAGATCCCAATCTAAAATTTGCTACAAATCAAGCAAGCAGTTCTCCTAGAACACGACTGTCCAAAACACGACCCACGGGCCATGGGGCCCGCGACATATTCCTAATCTACCACAATTGGATACGTTTTTCTTTGTTATATTTTAATAACTACATTATTTTATTTTTATAGTATCCTAAATAAATTAATAAAAATGTTTCGAATAATTTATTACACTTCACATTAATTTACTTAATAGGCAAGGACTTCAGTATATATATCGCTCTACAAATGATTCAAAAAACTCGTATCCAATGCCGTAAGTCATTACATTAAAAATTAGATATTTTGCGTATGGCAACAACTAATTTTAAGAATCTTGATATTGATAGAATTGTAAAAGATAAACTAATCAAAAATTAATATAACTAAATTTAACATCATCACCGTATATTTATATATTTCCGGCAAAATTATGAATTTTTGCGGCCCTCCAATCTATTCAGTGATTTAAATTGGTTTGCGATCTTATCAGATTTGGCAACCCCTGTTCTAGAATGTAATGTTTTGAATTTTGTACCGTAGATGAGAGCTAAACCAAGTAAATCAAATATCCTGATGGGTACATTAGAGATATTATCGTGATAATAGATACTGAAATATCACTACTGAGTTCATACAATTTTATAATGGTTCAAAAACTGAAAATTAGCTAAAAAATTCAATGAAATCTACTTAACTTTCTTTTATATTAAGAAAACTGCTGTTCTTATATTCAAAGAATTCAAAGAATGCTCCGACACCTCAGTTAACGAAAGTCTAGTACTTCGTATGCATCCTTATGCTGCATATATAATTGTGATTTGCAGAACACAAAGCATTGGGTGTTCAAATAAGTAAGCTAATCCGATTTTAGATAAAACTCAAACCTCATCATTAGAAATAAAATAAACCTTAATAAAATGTTTCTAAAACTTATACCTAAATCTTGACTTAAGTTATTGAATTTTCTCTAATTTGGAAATACAATAACGCTTTCGGTCGAAAGTTCTCAGAATTATATCTAACACAATAAAAGTACAATTAAAGTTTGCACAATAAAATAAGAAATTGGAAAAGGATCATAAACCTATAAAAAAAATCGATAAATAGATACTCGATAAGATTTAAATGATTATTATTTTTTTTTTGTTCTTCTTTTTTTTATTTATTGAATCACTTAAAAAGTGTAACAATAATTATTTAAATTTTACATACTAAAATATTCAATAATTTCAATACAACCTTAATTCAAGAAAAATAATAATATTTAATTCTGTACGAATTATGTATACTGATTGTCCGGCAGACGGCGAAAATGCCGTAGCTGTAAGGTTTATATATACCATATAATAAATTGTTATAAATTTGTTTTTCTAAATTTCTACTTATTTAAAATGAACTAAAATAGAGCTAAAATACTACTACTACTATGACAGATTGTAATATGTAAGTTCATGGAAATTTAAAAAAATTGTAAAGGGAATTAAGAATCTGGAAATATAGATAAAAAACGAAGATGATCCTACAACTGGATTATATCAGTTACACAAGAATTACTGTTTTGTGTAATTTTTCGTTAAGATATTGTTTAAATATCCTAAGGTATTAAAAGCATAAGACCATTTTAATTCCGGCCCATATATTCATTTTTTGCAATATGGTATTATCAAAAAGTATTATACTATTTGTGATTTGATTGAAAATTTTAGTTATAGAAACACAAGGAGGTGTATTTTAAGACTTGAACAACCAATATTTCAAAGTAAAAACTGGGGTAACTATAATTAAGATCTTGTTTTTAAGTGACTAGTAAAATGTGAGACACTTTTATTGATTAGGTGTTGTTCTTCATCTATAACTATTTCCCTTGTTGTTATTTCAATACATTAAACTAAGTTCTGCAAAATGTTATTCGCTTTTAGCATTGAAGAACTTTAGATTTCAGCATATTTCTCAACAATAATTTCTCTCATCGTTTTGTTGGCATAAAATTCTTTCATAGTTCTACGTTAATAATTTTTATTTATGATTCCCGAAGCATTAACATGCTGTGCAATTTGCAAGACAACTCTACTGTGCAATGTTCAGCGCCGCTGCACAGTGTGTCACAGCATATTTATAGGCGTTAAATACTTAAGCCAACTCAGTAGCTGTAGTTGCCACAGTTCTGCATAATTATTTCTGTTGTTGTTTTTCTTGCATAAATCAATTGCACTTTACTCGTGGTTTTAATAAAACTTACATTTAAATTACAATAAATTATATGACTTAAGCTAAACTTCACGTAGCGATGCCACTGTCAAGATAAGAAGAACCCCAAATTAATTCAAATTATATTTATTTAATTTTTTTTATATTTTTAATACCAATAAAAGCTGATGCTTTATATGGGTTCGGACTTTTAAGAGGGACACTGTATAGCTGGTTTAATTAAATGTGTATAGAAGAAGTGCATAAGTTTAACACAATTATGTATCTAGAAACGATCTATTATAATGATGTTTAAGGTGCTCATAAGCAATTATAAAGCTAAATTAACTTTAAGTTTATGAGCCGTTGTAAAACGTCATTGTTAACAGTTTACAGTCACCATTTAAATAAGTTATAATATTAAATGGAAAAATTATATATTCCAGTTTTGAGTAACAACTTTATACATTTTTACAATTACGATTCGTTTAAAACGATTTAGAATATTCATAATGAAAATCAGTAATTACAGATGTTAATCTAAAGTAAAATATTGAAAATAATTTCTGTTTTACTTCAGTAATGCATATAATACATATGTGTTATATACATATATATAAGTAACCTAGGGTTGTGCAAATAAATATATGTACATTCCAAAGACTTTTTTAAATAGGTTCACGGTGGATTTTAAACCTTGGAATTTCTTATACGTATAACCTAACATATAACCTTACCTAGAGACTATACACATACTTTATCTTTACTAGAGAAATCCTTGATTTTACCACTTATCATACTACAGTAAAGTATACAATAACAAAAAACATTTTTATAATACAGAAAAAAGGAGAAAAACATTTTTATAGTACAAATTCAGCTTCTGTACAAATATATCATAGTTTTAATATTTTAATATAATATTATAATATAAAATTTTCATGGCTGAATTAGATTAACATTTAATATGATAATTATATCAAATCTATATAAAAATAAAATTTATGAATTTCGACCAGTAATTCTATGACAGATACCTATTACACTGAATGATAGAACTCATATAATATACGTGATTGGTATTATTAACCTAATCCTTTATTGTGTATATATACATACATTTATCTCTCCACTTCAAATAAGCTAATCGATTTTATAAAATACTAAAGATTTTCCTAACTCAATTCTTTAGTCTTTGATATATTCCAATATAAATTAAAAAGCAACACAACATGATTTTATTTTTATTGCAAATGACATTATAATATCATGTATTCACTTTGTAAAAATCACTGTTAACACTTTTATCCAATAGTCACAAGCGAAATTATGTTAAAGTATAAACACATAATAAATGATTCAATTAAAATTGATTGAATTCAATATGAAATTGAACAGAGCAGTTAGCTGTTAGCTGTTAGCAGTCCGCAGTCCGCTGTCCGCTGTTAGCTGTTGGCATTCGACTGTTGGCTTATACAATTGAAGTCAATTGAAATGCGCGCCGCTGCCATCAAATAAATGAATGTTGTCATTAAAGCAATCATACATCATTAATAAACGCAAAACGGCAACTGTTTTTATGTTGACAAAAGAAAAATCCGAAAAAACAGCAAACAGCAAACAGCAAACAGTTCTGAAAAAGGATAATAACTATGCAATTAACCTTACAAGCGGTAAATATGCATAAATGACCACAGGGGAGTTGATACCCCAAAATCAGACCGAATCGAGAAACAAAACAAATAAAATATGAAATTGCTACAGAAGCATCATTTATTACGCGCTTATTACATGTTGAGTATAATAACTACGCATACACACAACAACAACAGCTAACACCAACACCAACAACAACCAGAAAAAGAAGAAAAACAACAACAATATCAATCGCAATAACATCATAATTGAACCCTATGGCTGTTATTGTTGTTGATCAGTTCAATCAATATCACAGTGGTGCGATTATGTTGCAAACAGATTGATTACAGAACAAAACATTTGTTAGCGGGGGGTATAGCGTTTTATGCTAAACGTACTGAAGAAAATCAAACGGAAGCGCTACCACATGGTTACGGAAACATTGCCTATATGGTTCTGCGGTGTGGATTGTAGTGGTGGTAATGGTGGCTTCGCATCCAAGCGCTTGCTTATAACTGGCGCTTGCAGTGCTGCGCCCACGTGCGAAATGATTGAAATCTTTCAATTTCATTCAATTTTATTGCATTTTAATTCACTTACCTCTTGCCGTTACGACGCCTTCGCTTGGTAGCGTAAACCGTGCCCAGTTGGCTCATTGCTAAGGCGGAGTTCGTTATGGTCGCCGTTTTGAAGTATCTTTTTTACTTTATTTTAAAGATAATTTTATTTACAATTTACTTTTGTTTTTTGTTATATGGAACTGTTTTTTTTTTAATGTTATTTTATTTTATCTTATAATGTTCTCTGCTATTAACATTAGGACTTTTTGTTTAATTTTATAAACATATTTGACATCACGTTTAAAATTAGTATTTTAAAAATATTAATTGATATAGTAATTAATAATTTTTTTATAGAATTCAATAATTTTATTATTTTTATTGCACTTCAATTGAGATTTATTTTCATTTATTAACTATTCAATAAAAAAAAGGTTAAGAGTTAAAAACACATATTTTTCAAATATTCACATAGAAATTTATACAAATTTATATTTATATTTATATACATACCTATATATATATATAATATATATATATATATATATATATATAATATATATATATATATATTATATTATCGTAAGTATATACATGCATATATATAGCATATATATATGCATATATATATGAATATATATATGAATATATACATGAACATATATATATGTGAATATATATATATATGAATATATATACACATATATATCCGGTATCGTCCTATCCGCTGCAGCGGTGTGTACCGAGAGACGTTACATAAATTTTGAATATATGAACATTTTTAACATTCATATCAATTGTATTTAAGTGATATATAATTTCAAATTATCTTGAACCGAGACTTATCATTGTTTTAGTTTTTAATTAACGACAAAATAGACCTAACACATTAACCACAAAATTCACATCATTTTTATTTATCTACGATTTACCATTACTCCCTTTTTAGAAAAGATACAAAAAATAGGAACTAAAAGTTCCTATATTATAAATAAATCTAATGTATCAAAAAAAAAAACTATATAATCTCACTACGACTTCTAAACGAGTACAATATAACATCTATGTCCTTATTTATTTTCTTTTCTAATCTCTTTGGTGTCACTACTTGAAGCCAAACTACACTGTGAAGAAATTTCATATACAAAGTCAAACAGATAAGGATTGTATAAACATTGTATATATTATGATTGTGTCTTAATATGAATTACTTGTTGTTGATATTCTATTATAACCACATATTCATCTGAATTCCGACGAAGCTATAAAGGACTTGATACTGATTGATTTAATACATAATAGAGTATGAAAACTAAAGTTAAGATTTTTATTAGTAAAAACAAAGAGCTTTTGGTGTTCAGAAAAAAAAAACAAATTCAATATTTTTGATTGTCAAACAAATACATTTGTGTATTGTACTCATTGCATAAGACATCAATTATGGCAGTAAGATTTAAAATTCAAAAAAATCAAATTAACATCAATCATCAATTTTTGAAGCAATATATGACATATGGTAGTCGGTGACTTCCTCAAATCGAGTTCCTGGATAGCCAAACATATAACAATTTCTATGTTTTTAATATAGCTACCTAAAGCGTATAACTAACAGACGCTGGGAACTTATGACAGTCCAAGTAATGATGACAGTAATAAATAATGTATAAAACAGATTATTCGATAAGTGAAGAAATGTGTAAGAAAGTATATATATAAACATAAAGACTTCACCAAATGAGTTTACTACAGGAATTATTTTTCAATACTATACCAATTCTAAGCTTGATCTGAGAAAAAGATCAAAATTCAGTATCAAGTCATTTTGTTTTCTGATATCGAATAATTTATTCGTACATTAGTATATGTACTTTGTCTAATATATATATTGAAATATATTAAATCTATGTTATTCTGTTTTTATATAAATAAACAGAAGCTGAGTTTAGTTTATTTACACTGAAAAACACAGCTACGAGTCTATAATTTAAGTCTAGAGAATCATAATTTGTGATCACATAAGAGGCAAAATCGAAAAGAGATGAGTTATGTCATGAAAAATTTACAATGTTTATAAATATATTAAAAAATTTCAATAAAATTACGACATTGCTTTTCGGTATTAGATTAGATTAGTTTAAGTCATCAGAGTACTGCATAAATACATATGTACTGCAAACATTTAGACCAGAAACTTTTCAATCATTCATTGAAAGAAAGGTTTAAATTAAGCTTAATAGTAAATTTTTTATACCAATGGCATTTATTAGTAGTTTTAGAAAGGACGTATCTAGATATCTAAATTTATTCCATAAAAGGATATCCAAATTAATTATTAATTATTATTATTCTGTTGATGTGATTTTGCATTGCAACCTAGAGATCTATTGTGCCCTTCCATGAATTCAGAATATTTCTTCAAATCCGACTAATTCGATAAACCCATATTATGGAGTTTTATTACTTCTTTTAATATAAGATGCTCAACTAGAATATTTTTTCATTTATGCATTAGCGCCGGACAAACTCTCAGCACAAGTTTTGAAGTTTTCTCTGCACTACTTAACCTATAAATTCCATTGTAGTAAGTTTCTAATTTTGTCACGTAGTAGTTTAATTTGTAGGAACAATATTCTAACATTTTTAAAATGTTTTAACGAAATTACTTTGAGCAACACTTGTAAATAATTAATCGGACTCCTGAGTTCACAAACTAAAGACTTTAATTGGTCTCTTTGAAATTTTTATTTGCTCTGGAACTGAAAAAAAATTAATAATTTGGTCTAGAACTGAACCTGAAATATACTCAACATAAATGTCTAAATTAATTAAATTTAGATCTTTTAATAATTCAATGAAATACACTTTAAAAAATGTAGTTATAGCTAACTGCACAAAAACTTGAAATAAATTAAAAACAAAGTCTTAAGAGAACCATTATATAAATATTAACATTATAAGGTTTGAAATAAAAACTACAAGCATTTTTAATGATACATCCGATCTTTTTTAAAATATAACTTTTACAAAATGACCGTATGTAGACTAAATGAAGCACTGGTTGGAATAATTCAACAGTTTAGGAAAGTTAGGACATTAAAATTTTTAATTTTTTTTATGGAAATCAATAGGTTAGTCCTAAAAATGAGATTAAGAGGTTTCCAGAGAATATTTAAAATCTTATAAGGCTCAAATCAACGAAAAATACATCAGCAACTCAAAATTTTTGTAAATCAATAAATACGAAATCTCCATCAAACGCTTTTTCTAATCCATTAGGAAATTATCTAAAAGTAAAGTTTAACATTTATGGCTTCTGTTAGTAACAGAATTCGACATCTACTCGTAGATCTACTTGAGAATCAAAATATCACTTAGCAAATTATTCTAATGATCTATTCATAACGTCATAGAAAACCATTGATTATAGTTTTAGATATGTAAATATGTATCCAAAATTATTACATTTAATTCGTTATCAGTGTTAATTGAAAGGAATTTCAATGTTAGAAACAAATGTGGAAAACATTTTCGCGAGCCAAAACTTAATTTTCCAAGTGATTTTGTTTGAATAGCTTTTTTTATAGCTGTTAACACATTTTATTTAATTAAATGGTTATTTGCAGACTTTACAGAAATATTTTTAAATCCATTCATTATTTCTTTCATTGATACACGCACCAGTGATGGGAACACGCAAACTGAATTACACGCAAATGAACGAATTACACGAATTACACAGACAAAATTGTCAAAATGCATTTGAAGTTGAAGTTGAATTTTTGGCCGACGGAAGGATGCAATTGTGCATACTTATTTTATTTTGTTTTATTCTGTTTTGTTTTGTGTTAATATTCGGGCGTAAGTTAAAATTCTTTTTATTTTGAGAGATGCACTTTATGTTTTTTTTGTTATTGTATTTTTAGACTTCTTGTCAAGTTTTTAGACACGCATCTGATATTGAACACATATGCGTTTTATGATAAGCGGAGTATCGCGTGCTGGTAGACAATGGCGGTTTTTGGGGTGCTTGAATTTGAATTTAAATTCCTGTTTATCGGTTGTTTACGTTTTTTTGCAAACGGTGCGGTGCACACGCACCTTTAGCACTGATCTAGACGAAGAATTATGGTAACAGCATGCATGCAGCCAAAACTGTCAAATAATACTGCAAAACCGTTAGAAATTTGACCGACCGAACGTGGTAACACGAGCGAGCACGCGATTCAAAATGAGCTAGCGAATTGCATGTCCAAATAAATGACTGACTGACTGGCTCCTTGCTCCACCACAACACAACAGAACAGAACAGAACAAGGCGCCAGCGGTAACGGCAGCGTTGCGCTTCGAGCGTAATATTAGGCTGGCAACTGTTATTCGGAGAGTAGTGTATTTACAAAAGAGCAATCCGCCCAGCCATGTCAAACCGATGAACTCAAAAATTTTCTTTGTTTTGCTTTTGCTTTTGTTTTGTTGTTTTTGTTTTTGTTTTTGTTTGATGCATTTATTTCACACAATTATTTTTGTTTAACTTTTCAGTATGTTCTTTTTTCTTTTTATTTTTTGTGTTTACGTGACTGTTTATTATACTAAGCATTAAGCATATAAAAGTATTGCGTGCCGCGACGACCACAACAACACAAACGTCGCACACGATCTCTTTGAGAATCCAACAAGAACTGAAGTTGGGAAAAACCAGTCCTTGGCCAAAAGCGAAAAACAAATTCTCGCGTTTCATTTGCCATGTAGCCAACAGCATAACAACAAACAATAGCGGCAACAATAACAATACCAACAACAACAACACCAACAACGTATATACAAACACTTCCAGTAGTCCTGGTAACTTTGTTTCATTTTCATTCCCCTCACTACATATTGTTTCATTTATTTTCAGTTAAAAGAGTTTTGTGTGGAATTAGTGCTTCGAACATAAAAAGAGATAGCAAAACTTATTTAAAGGCGGCGTTAGCTTGTTTTTACTTACCTAAAACGAAACAGCTGAGTACCGTTTCATATCCATAATGTTTCACCACTGGAAATATTTAATTTTGGTCAATTATGGAAATGCACACTCTTGTCAATTGGAAATAAAACTCTCTCTCGCTCAAAACAATTACGTATTCATAAGTTAAAGGGCGGAGCTTGTAGGTTGGCTCATTTTAATTTATTTTGTTG